GCGTCAAGCTTGCCCAGGTCTGTCTGGGTGGCATCCCGTCCCTGAGGCGTGTCAGCCGCACCACTCGGCTTCATGTTGTCTGCAAACTTGCTGAGGGTGCACTCGTTCCCACTATCCATGTCATTGATGAAGATATTAAACAGCACTGGTCCCAATGCAGACCCCTGCAGGACACGAGTTGTCACTGATCTCCATCTGGACGTTGAGCCATTGAGCACTACTCTGTGGATGCGACCATCAAGCCAATTCCTTATCCACTGAAAAGTGCACTCATCAAATCCATATTTCTCCAATTTAGAGAGAAGAATGTTGTGGGGGACTGTGTCAAAGGCTTTACAGAGGTCCAGATAGATGGTATCCGTAGATCTTCCCATGTCCACTGATGTAGTCACTCCATCATAGAAGGCCACTAGGTTGGTCAGGCAAGATTTGCCCTTGGTGAAGCCATGCTGGCGATGATAATTCCATAATCTCCCTGTACCGGCGTTTTCTCTTTTTAAGTGAGGGTTATGTAATCGCTTCAGAGATGGATTTAACTCACTGATTTTTAAAAAGCAATTTGATAACCATATACAGAGAGCACTAAAGAGTTTCAGACTTTCTTAGCTATCTTTACTGACATCACCTCCAAGGTATTTTCATCTTCTGTTGTTCATGATAGCTTTTTCTCTGCTATTACAGTCACTAGATTTCCCCGACCTGTATCACCTCTTCAGGATGTGGCCATCATCATTGGAAGCCGCGAACAATTAGCAGTGTTGTTGCAACTGTATGACTATCAGCTAGAACATGAGGGTACCACAGGCTGGGAGACTTTGCTATGGGTAGTCAATCAACTGTGAGTTAATTTGTATCTTATGATCCCTAATTTTAAAATGTGTCAAAATTAATAGTTCTTAAGCATGATTATGTTTAACAATTGCTAAGCATAAGAATTTTAAGTATGATTGTGTTTAAGAATTATTAAAGAGGAAAAAATTGATTTTTTCTTAGGCGTTTTAATTTTCATACTGAATTGACTTTGATCTTATTCAGAAAATATCAACTATCTAGCAGAATGTGTAGGTAACTACTTGCTCAAAAAAACCAGTTTCTTTCATCTTTGCACTAGTATAGTCAATTCTCTGTTGAAGTGAAGATTGTTGTATTCTGAATATCTCATGAAATACACTGTGCTGCAGTAACAGATGTTTGAGAATATAGGTCAGACTTTTCTAGCACTTAAACCCTTGCCTTCTTCAAGGGTCAGGAATTGTACAGAACATGTAGGTAATTTTATTATAACCATTAGTGCTGTACATATGTGTTTATTAATATAAACAGTAAATTTATACAGTATAACTGCAGAGAAACAAAAGGTGAGAGTAGTACTTAATATCCTTTTGTTTCCTGATTTTTTAGGCTACCACAGCTTATAGAAATAGTTGGCAAGATCAATGTAGCATCAACTGCTTGTGTCCATGAGTTCTCTAGATTTTTCTGGAGACTTTGTAGGACATTTGGGAAAATTTTTACAAACACTAAGGTAAGATACTACCTTAAATATTCTACAAAACAAGTACCTTGATAATATATATTCTCCATATTTACGGTGTGTCTGAATACCCACACTTGATGTGACCATTTATATTTGCATGTCACACTGATGCTTTTCCATAAGTACATTTAAACCTGCTATTTTTAAACCTCTGCATCCTTTTGATTTCTGTTTTTGACAATTTTGGAATGGCCTTCTCATCTTGCCCAACAAGGAGGGATTTTTTTTTAAACTGTATTCTTCATATTTTCTTTGTGAATGGCATAGAGAGTGGGAGAGATCATCCTAATTCTGGTGATTTAACAATTTTCTTTCTTCAGAACAGCATATTGTTCAGTGTTTGTGGCGTACATAAGTACTCCAGCATGTACTTGATTGGAAATTTAAAATTATGCTTTCCCTGCCCGAAATACTTTCTGTAGATGACATCTAAACATTTTTATCAAGGAAATATATCATTTTTCTCAATAAAATAACTTCTAAGTATAATTTTAAAATATTTTAAAGGGAAATTATAAAACACGAGAGGATTACCTAAAGTTAAAATTACGAAACAGGGTTAGCATTATGTGCTGCCTCCAAAGAGAAGATTAAAACCAGTCACTGGTCTTTGAAAGCCCCTTCTGTAAGTTATCTTTAGAACTCTTGCTTCTATAAAATTGTTCTGAGAGTGATTATCACGGCTATATTTTGGAAGAGAGCACTTCATGGACAGCAAAGACATAAAACTAAAACTTTTTTTTTTTTGATATATAGCTTGGTAAAACCATAAACCATAAAGCCCAACTAAGCATATTGCCAAGAGACTTCAACTTTTGGTATCAGGAGTGCTAAACACTGCTACCTCAGTGTGGGTACTCAATAGAAATTTTTACTCTCGTGTCATACTTTCAATTTTCGTAAAAGATGGCTGTGCTTTTTAAAGGCTTTTTTCTTTCTGTACCCTCAAAATGTCCTTTTTCGGTTAGTTGGATTTTTTAATTCTTAATTTTTTCCTAAGTTAATTGACACTGGTAACAGGTTTTCTTCTTATGGGATTCATTATCCTTTGTATAGGTAAAACCACAGTTCCAGGAAATCTTAAGACTGTCTGAGGAAAACATAGGTAAGTAGCTTTTTACTGCAACTGGAAAAAAACTGTCAGTCTCTTGTTCAAATAACATTTTCAGACTGCAGTTCTCAAATTTGTCATCTTTCTGAAATGTTGAAAATCTAATCTTAATCTGAATGGAACACTCTGAAGTTGTAGATTGTGTGTAAAGTACAAATAAAATCTCAAATCCAAATACCACTTGAGCATTATTTTAGCACGTGTGTGCATGTATATATGCATATATGTATATAAACTCTTCATGTACGTATAAAAAGGTGACTATATATAAAATACTTATGATACACACATATAAGTCTACCTTATATATATTAAAAATATATAGTATACATATTACACACACACACATATATAAAACCTAAATTCTTCACTGCGTTTCATTAGATTCCACGGCAGGTAATGGAGTGCTAACAAAAGCCACAGTTCCCATCTATGCAACAGGGGTCCTTACATGTTATATTCAGGTAGGTTTGTTTTTCTGTTTCTTTGCTAAATGTATAATAATATGTAAAATTTATTCTACCAAAAAACCCTTACTGTTTTCTTTGAAAACTTACAGTGCTCTTGTGCTTTGAAGAGAGGTAAATAAGTGGACAGCTGTATACACATTTAAAAGCAAAGTTCTGTAGGCATGTTGTCTACTAGATTTAGACAATAGTCATCAGTGTTAAAACCTGAATTCAGTAAAACTTAAAATGACATTTGGCATCTTCACCACTGCTAACTTTCAGACATTGACAGCTGCCATGTGCCTCTATCAAAGATATTAATGTTATTCCATAAATGGGTTCTTGGCCATTTAACTGTAACCCCTGCAAACACAATTTTGCAAAATTTATTGAAAAAGATAAGCAGGTAAATTGCCATTTTGGGCATAGTTGGAGTTTAAAATTTTAGTGTTACCTAGTACGAAAATAAGCACTCCATAAATAATACCACCTAATCCTCCAGTAACCAGCAGTTATGGACTGGCATATACGTAGCTTACAGGAAAAAATAAATACTTCATCAACTCACAGATGTTTAGTGGACTGTAAGCAATCACAAACTGTCAGGAGCAGTGAAAGTGTTTAAGTGCTCTTCTTAAAAGTTTCTTTAGTAAAACAATTTGGGTAATTTATGCATGAGTATGTGCTTAGTTGATGAAGTACAGAAATACAGTCTCTTCTTGTGTTTGCTTTGAAAGGTTCTTGTTCTTAAACCACATTTTTTAAGTTCATAAAAGATTGTTAAAGGCTAAATCTAGTTTGTTCTCATTCATAGTTTGTCTCTTTCATAGCTGTAGGTCATCACAACCGCAGCAACGCTTCTACTACATTCAACATTTGTGCACTCTTCTTTCAGGAAGAAGATCGCAAGCTGTTAGTTGGATTCTTGGAAGACGTAATGACCATGCTTTCACTATCTCATGCTCCTCTTGATAGTCTGAAAGCTTCCTTTGTGGAACTGGGGTAAAGAATATACCTTGGAGTTGACTAGATCTAAATACATTAGAAGTTTTCATTAAAAGCTGCTAATCTGGCTGTAATTTTAAAAACTGATGCTTCGAGTGAATAAAGGGTATACTTGCCTTTTTTCCTTGGTGTTTCACAAGATTTAAACTTTTAATTTCTGGATTTAAAATGTAGTGGTAAAAAAATGCTGAAGTAAAAAAGAAACACCAAAAACCCAACAAACAAACAAAGAAAAAACCACAAAAATCCATCATTGAGGAATAAAATGGAAATTAATTTTGTATTTTCAATGCTATTATGATGTGTTCTAGATACGTATTTGCATTCAGTTCAGTATCATAATTTACTGAAAATTATATTCTTAAAGTTTTTTTAAAAGAAAAAGAACTTCAAAATGCAACATATTTTCTAGACAGCAACATGTTTCATGTTCTTCAGAATGAGACAAATGTTATGTATCCTTCAGAAAGGATAAATGTTGGAGTTTTAGGTTTGTTGAGCAATGGATTCTTGAGCCTACGTTTTTTAAAGAACATACTTAGCGTTCGGGAGGTTTTTTTGATTGCCCAACTGTTTTCTTTTAGTGCAAACCCAGCTTATCATGAGCTGCTATTAACTGTCTTATGGTATGGAGTTGTCCATACTTCTGCTCTTGTTCGATGTACAGCTGCTAGAATGTTTGAGGTAAGTGTTATCCGAACTTTTTTACACCTTTTTAAAACTAGAGTTTATTTTTAAAAACAGTGATTCAGATAATCTTACTACATTCTTAAAAATTACAAATGGCTTAAATAAGTTGTGTACTGTGTGATGGAGCAGGAAGTTGTTGTGCAGTTGTTTCTGTATCTGTTCTCTGTTCAACAGCACATCTTTCATTAAGCAATTTGTCATTAGCCACTTGCAAGATGTTTCTGTAGTAACTGTGTATGTGTTCTTTGATCTGCTGACTTGATTGTGGCATTCTGATTATTGCATGCTGAAAAACACTTTCTGATTATGAAAATGCATTTCATTGCTAAACTGTGTTCATACCAGAATTAAATACGTTGTCAAATGTGTTTGCTTAGGTCTGTAGATAAACATAAACAAGCATCTCTCTGAATTTTAACATTTGCTTTTACTATTCAACACATCATCAGTAGCCTAATTCACAAGTCATTGGTTTTCAATACTTTTGTGTATGCACTGCACTTGCATTGTAATTCAAACTAGTTTCCATTGGTGCCAAATATGGTGGCAAAAGCATACATTTAACCAATTTTGTATTTTTTGTAAAACTTAATTAAATAATTTACGATTACTTTACTTGCCACATAGTGACAGCTTCATCTTTCCCTTAACATCTATAAATTTGTTCAGGGTAAAGAGTGTTACATTTAACTAATAAGTTTGCTTTTATTTCCACATCATGCCTTCGTTTCATCAAGTGTTAATTAAAAAAGGCATATACGAAAACTCTGGGACATGCTCCACTTGCTGAACAAAGAGATTACCTTTTTTTTTTTTGAAAGTTAGAAAGACACATTTCTAATTACACTATCACCGTCCATTTCTTTCTCTTTTTTTTTTTTTTTTTTTTGCGTTTCTTCCACATTTGACTCATTTTGGTTAGCTTTGCAGTGGACCTCTAGCTGAACCTGCCACCTTGCATCCATTTGCAAAAACAAATCTCAAGTCTGCCTTGGAAAAAAGAGCGCTTAACATAACCATTAGTGTTCTTTACTGCAATTCTGCAAGTCATTGCAGATAAAGCACTAAACAACTACTTTAAGACATATCCTGAGACTTCAGTTGAAAACATCCAACCTTGTCTTGGTGTTTGGTTTTTTTCCCCCTCCCCCCCTCCTCTCCCTTAAAAAAGGAGATGGCAATTTTTGGTTACCCTTAAAATATTTTTGAGTTGGTGTTTGTTTGTTTTCTTTCTTTTGTTTTAATCTAACAAGGATATTGCTTGTATTTTATACTCCTAATAATTAGCTTGCTTGGTTTTTTAATAAGCATTAGCCAAACATGTGAAAGACCTCAGTTACAACAGGCTGTTGTCTTGGTTGCAGTTTCTTTTCAAATTGAACTGCACCTTGATTATTTTTAGGCAGTCCTGCATGCCATTTGATTGCTTGTTTCCTAGTATACTTCAATTTTTACTAAAGCATAGGCAACTTTGTTGCAGACACTTTTTCTCACTTGAAAATAGTATCATATTGCCACATCCTTGATAGCCATAGCATACATAATTATACATGGCAATATGTAAAATTGGGAAGTCACCTGTGTAAAGAGGTGGTAACAATTGGTTTCACTTTTGGAAGATATCTTCATTCAAGGAATTTCTGACATCTCAGAGGCTGCTGAATGGCAAAGCCCAGCGATTAGATAATGAGATAAAGAGTATGTCACCTGCAGGACAGCTATATGAGAACTATAAAGATTCTGAGCAGCACAGTGGTCTGTGCAGCAGCACAGAGACTGCCATGATTTGGGCCTGCCAGACTGCGTTACCAAACCTTTCCAGTCTGTTAAGGATTGGAAGGACATAGAAGTGATTTGGAGCCATTCTACCCCTTCTCTCCTCTGGGGGCAGGAAGCTTTGCGCTGCCATTTTTAAGGTGTAGTATGCATAAGTAATGATCACACATTGATCTAGAGGAATCAAAACAGGATTTGCATTGTCTGTCTCGCCGTAACCTGACATGCTGCTACATGGCTTTGCCAATCCAGCTGTTTCTGTTGCTTCTGTGTTAATGTTTTCAGTCAGTAGTTTTCCATTTGAATGTTAATGCAAACAGATTTGATTGCTGCTGGTTTGAACATGAAGCACATAGTTGAATTACAAGCTTTGTTGGTCTGTTTAGGTTCAAGGGTAGGAACACTTCAGAATGACACTTGAATTATAAAGCATGTTTTATTTTCTGTAAGACAGAACGATGCTGTTTACCATGCTTTACTATAATTAGAATAAATTTCACTGTGATCTCAGCTTTTAACATTTGGGATGTATTGCAAGAAATACATCTCTTCCTTAGTTTGCAAAGAGACTTAGTGAAATACATTTCATGGATAATGCAAGGGTTCTCCATTTTCTCCCTGCATAGACCAGCAAGGGAAACTTGGGAAGTTTCACATACATACTGCTTGGATGGCGGTTAAATCTAAAATAGTCCTGAATGACTTTGAGGAAAGCTTAGTGGCATCTGGGAAGGTGCTGTTTGTCACACTGTAAAAGGTCTGAAAGGTACCACTCGGGATCATGCAGGAAAACTACACGCATTTGGCCTAGCTAAAGACATCTCTTTTGCATGTGACAGCCACCTACTATAACAAATACCATTCCATTGAGTTAGGAACAGCATTTAGATTAAACTGTCAAACTCCAATTTGCATCGCTTTAGTATTTAATTATACATCATTATATGTATAATACGTAATTATATTAGAATTTGAATTACAATACATAATTACTTGCTAAACTGTTGAGAGTTCAAGTTTTAAAATAGCTGAAAATAGAGAAAACATTATCATATTGTTGAATTTGTCAGGTTTGTGCCGATTGCCAGACCACTTCAGCTTTCTTCATGCCTTTGCATATATGAAGCACTAGTGTAGCAGTATTTGCTTAGCTTCTAATTTTGGTTTGCTTTTTGTGTTTTTTTCTTTCTCTCTCTTGGTTGTGCCGTTCTTCTTCCCATGATACTGTGCTCGCTCTTTCCGTGCATCACCTGTGATACCCCCCTGCTCCGACCATTCAGCTGTTGGTGAAGGGGGTACATGAAACTCTGGTAGCTCAGAGAGTTGTTCCTGCTCTCATTACTCTCTCCAGTGACCCTGAAATGTAAGTTTCCTGACTGTCTTATATACCTAGCATCCCTCTTAATACTTAGGAAGAAATAACCATCAGTTCTGTTTCTTATTCTAGCTGAACAAAAATTGAATTACAAATGTAACTTTTAAATGTAACTTTTAAATTACTTATTTGTAAATAAAAAAGTTTATTGCAACACCTAGAACTAAACTGGGTAAAACTGCTGAATAAAGTTTAAATAGAAAACTTAAATCAATGTCATTTAATTTTTATGGGTTTTTATATTTAATCATATTCTCAATTTTGAAATTTGCTTCCATAATTTCTAGCAGACAGCTGGATATTAATATGTTCTGTAATGCTATCAGCTTTACTACTGCAAAATTAAATATCATCTGCATTACTGATGTACAAAATAGTTTTAGCTGTATAATTTCTGATAGACAACCGTAGTACTTAATTTCCTGGACATTCTGATGTGATATTTCTTTCAAGCTAAGGAGGGATGCTTTGCTAATCTCACTAACAGGTTGTTACTAATAAATGCTACAGCATGAATAGAGTCTTAATTGTTTTAATGTCTTGTGTGGGTGACTAAACCAAGAAAAACCCCAAGAGTCTTACCTGCCTGTCCTCAGTCACAGCTAACCCAGTTCTTCAATTTTACCAAACCATTTTTTATTGCATGTTGACTGGTTTACAGCTGACTCTTCGAGGCATGAGTGAAGCCTTAGTTGACAAGCGGGTTGCTCCGGCCCTTGTTACCTTGTCCAGTGATCCTGAATTGTGAGTTTCAGATTGAGACCTTGAGTTAATCCTGTCTGTCTTTTTCCTGGTCTGCTTTTTTTGTTTTGTCATTGCTAGAAACTAATGTAACTTAAAGTACTAATTTTAAATTTTTGCTTTATTTTCAATTAATTTTATTCTTAATGTTTAATACCTCTTAAAGACTTTATTTTTCTGTTGTAGTTCAGTAAGGATTGCAACAATTCCTGCTTTTGGGACCATCATGGAAACTGTTACTCAGAGAGAGGTAAGACACCTGTTGTCAGGCTGTTGTTTTTGTAGCATAAGAAGTGGGTGATTTTTTGTAAATCCAGAAATCCAGTAATTTATTAATGAACTTGGAGGGAAAAAAAAAGGCGACTGAAATTATTTCTTCCTTTGTTATATCCTCTTCCAAAATGCAATGTTTCCAGTTTTTTGCAATGGTTTTTTTTTTTTTAAACAAACCAACCCTCTTTTAACTAATAAAAACATTTCCTTCTAAATATCAAACCAAATATAAACAAAGAAAAACAGATATGTAGAGGGGGAGGCCTGTGCTAGAAGATGGGAAATCCCATGCTCAAAATGTTTTTTAAAACATTCTCCAATACAGTTGAGAAATCCATTATTTCCAAATAAAATAGCTTTACTTTAAAATGCTAACCAAAAAGTCATGGTGGGATTCAGTTACCTCCACATAAATATATTGTACCTTTTTAGATGCTTTAGGATATCCTGCTTGGCTTCCAACTACTTTAGAAGGGCACACGTCTCTTGTAGTTCCTGTCATATCTGCTGGTTTAGCCTATGGTGTCCAAGATGGCATTAAAAGACATCATAGTGACATAACTGAAATAATCCTTGAGGATAATACAGATATGCAATTCCTCCTTACTTTTTAAATGATGAAACTTTGGTAATCAATCAGAATTCTGAAAAAGACACCCAGGATTCTGCTGCAAGCAGTAGAAATACTGTATTTTGTTTTATATAATAACTGTACAGTCAAATTTCTTCTTAAACTCCTTGCAGCTTTTTGCAGAGCTTGCATTCTTCCTGTAATTTCAACATATTCTAAAAGAATGTGTTTGAGGAAATGTGAGTAAGAAGTCAGTGATGACTCACAAGTACTTGGAAGATGGATAAGTTACAATTTTGTAGCTTGGAATGCATGCCTATAATCAATTTGGGAGGAATACTCTTTTGTTACCACACAAAAATTACGATATCCATTGCACTAATTATAATAAGCCTTAGAGTACAGAGGTAATATTGCCTTCCAAAATGTATCAGGAAATGTTATTTTTACAACTTTAAATACAAATTAAATACTTATGTCATCTTAGATATATTTGTATTTCCAGTTTCTCTAGCCTTTAGTTCAAGAAACCTTTTTAATTCCATTGATTTTATGATGCTAACTTTTGCATCTGTCCTCTGCAGAAATTGAGCATATGTAATTCAGATACATTACAAAAAAAATAACGTGAATTCAGTTCTAATTAAAGAGGAAAACTCCGAAGTTATTAATAGTAAGAGGGAAATTTTAATAGCAGGTAGAAAAATGTGAGTATCAAAACCAAGGAAACCTCAGGAGGAAAGACCGGCTATATGGAAGCACCTGTCTATAGTTAAAGATAGATCAGACTAAAACACTGTTAACAGTCTTTAAAATGTAGAGCTGCATCGAAGAGTTTGGGACATCCTGTCAGAAAAAAATGTAAATTAACAGAAGGTCCAAGGTTTATCATCTGAAATATGGAAGGTTATAGACATACTCTGGACTGACCATAACAGTTTCTAGCATCTTCATTCCTTTGTGTACTTTTTATTTCTCTGGAAATATTTAAGCTTCTGGAAAGAGTAAAAATGCAGCTGGCATCTTTCCTGGAGGACCCTCAGTATCAAGACCAACATTCTCTACATACAGAAATCATAAAAACATTTGGAAGAGTTGGACCTAATGCTGAGCCCAGATTTAGAGATGAATGTAAGTTGCATCAGTGGAAGATGCAGTCTTCCTCTTTCTGTCCCAAAGCTAATAATACGTTGGTTACGTTGATTTTTTTTTTTTTTTTGTCTCTTGTTTTCAGAGTTTGATATGTGCCAGTATTTAAGACTTTGCTAATATGATTTTCACTTTACCTAACTTTGGTGTGTATATAGAACACCAGCACATGCTGATGAATGATTTCAGAGCCGGAGGGAACTGTTCACTTTGCTGCAGAGCAAATTTGAAGTTGTCTTTTTTTGAATTACTTGACATGTAAAATGCCTTCCTCTCCCCCTCTTCCCCCATTGCTTCACCCCCTGCAAGCATATAAATTTCAAATATTCCACATATCTTGAATGTAAGTGCATCCCAGATTAACAAAACAGCTTTTTTCCATGGCCCTGAAATGTAAAGCACATAGAAGAGCAAAGTTGATTAAGACTGTTTTTAAGATACTTGTAAACAAAATGTGAGGAGCTATCGTGCCTCCCAACTGCATACATCTAGTTTAGCAGGCTAACTTCATTAGATAGGCTTCCTCTATAGTCAGTGAAGATTTCTCATGACGTGCATATCTCTGTCACTACCTTATCAGCTGTATTTATCAAATAGAAGCATATTTTAGACAGCTTTAGCAACAGGAGAGTAATAATGTTGCAAAATATTTTCTGTAAACTGTTACTATTTCAAAGGTATTCTGAGGTACCTTTTTATTTTAGGTGGTGTTACCACAGTGTTATTTCAAGTTTGAATTGATCAGTTAAATCCACAAGGGCAGTCCCATCAAAAGCCATTATTTGCAGTTCTTATTCTACACTGATGTGTGATGCTTCAGATGCCTGCGATTGCCACTTAGCAACTGTTTAATGCTAAGCAAGTCTACAGAAAGCAATTTCGAATACTTAGTCCAGTATTTACTTTTACAGTTGTTATTCCACACTTGCACAAGTTAGCCTTGGTCAACAACCAGCAGTCTGTGGATTCAAAGAGACTGGATATTGCTACCCACCTGTTTGAAGCCTACAGTGCTCTTTCCTGTTGTTGTATCCTTTTTTTAGGGGAAGTTTAGCTGTTAATTCTCTGTTGGGGGGAGAAGATTAATACTTGAGAAATAACTAATTTTGTCTTTGAATGTGTGATGTAAAACATGATCTGGTCAGCATAAAGAAGAGGTTTTCACAGAAGGTGGATGTGGTGGGTTGACCTTGGCTGAATGCCAGGTGCCCACCAAGCTGCTCTGTCACTCCCCTCCTCAGCAAGGTGGGGAGAGAAAATAAGATGGAAAAAAACTTGTGGGTCAAGATAAAGGCAGTTGAATAAAGCAAAAGCAAAGGCTGCGTGTGGAAGCAAAAGAAAACAAAAGGTTTATTCTCTACTTCCTATCAGCAGGCGATGTCCAGCCACTTCCCAGGAAGTAGGGCTTCAATATGCGTAGCAGTTGCTCTGGAAGACAAACGTCGTAATAACAAATGCCACCCCCCTCCCCCCCCGCCTCCTTTTCTTAGCTTTTATTGCTGAGCAGATGTCATATGGTATGGAATATCCCTTTGGTCAGTTTGGGTCAGCTGTCCTGGCTATGTCCCCTCCCAAGATCTTGCCCATCCCCAGCCTACTGGTGAGGCGGGAATGTTGGAGAGACAGCCTGGGTGTTGTGCCAGCACTGCTTAGCAGAAGCCAAAACACGGGTGTGTTATCAATGCCTTTCTAGCTACCAATACAAAGCACAGCACTACAAGGGTTGCTATGGGGAAAATTAACTCCATCTCAGCCAGACCCAATACAGTGGAAATGATAGATACTTTAAAAAAATAAAAAGCTACAAAAACAATGCCCTTGGTCTTAACCAGTAAATTAAGAAAAAATATTAAAGGAATAGTATGGATGTATGAAATATATGAAGTTAAATATGTTTCAGAACTGTTTTCTTTTTTATTAGTCATGAAGTGCCAAATGCTGTTATGTTTTCTTGGGTTTTGCTGCTTTAGCTTGTCCCTGTGTTCAGTAGAATAACATTATCAGAAGACAGAAAAAAATTGTATCGTTTCAGAAGACAATCCTTATAATACCTTAACAACCTGGTTTTTAGTTATTTCAGAGGATTTAATGGTCAATCACTTTTTACCAGGACTTAAGTGTTTACGAACTGACATGGAACATCTGTCGCCAGAACATGAGGTGAGCAGCTATGTTTGCTGAGTATGAGATGCAGGTGGCAGCAAAAGTTCAAATGTAATGGTATTTAAAACTGAAAGTTAAGGAGAGCTACTCATAAGTGGTATCAAAACATAGCATTGAGGGTTTTTCTGATAAGGAATAGGTCGCATGATTTGAAAAACAGTAAAATCTTTTAAAATGTATTTCTAAGCCGAGGACCTCTGCAGAGAAATATTCAACTGTCAGAAATACATGTTGAAACACAGATCCTTGTAGACTGAAGAAAAAGGAAATGGCTATCTGTTTTTTCATCAAAACAAGGATACACTAAAATCAATGGCCACAGTATATCCAAGGAAATGCAGACGAAAATTGGTGGAGTGCAGGAGAGAAATGATAGGCAAGGATGAGGAAAGTATAGTCCTGAAATACATGGGATGCGCTTCGTATCTGGAGTACTGTGTCCAGTTCTGGGCTCCCCAGTACAGAAGCATGGACCTACTGGAGAGAGTCCAGCAAAGGGCCACGAAGATGATGAAGGGACTGGAGCATCTCTCACAGGAGGAGAGGCTGAGAGAGCTGGGACTGTTCAGCCTGGAGAAAAGAAGGCTCAGGGGGGATCTTACCAGTGTATATAAATACCTGAAGGGAGGGTGCAAAGAGGATGAAGCCAGGCTTTTCTCAGTGGTGCCCAGTGACAGGACCAGAGGCAGTGGGCACAAACTGAAACACAGGGGGATCCCTCTGAACATCAGGAAACACGTTTTTCCTGTGAGGGTGACCAAGCACTGGCACAGGTTGCCAGAGGGGTGGTGGAATCTCCATCCTGGGAGATATTCAGAAGCCATCTGGACATGGTCCTGGGCAACTGGCTGTAGGTAGCCCTGCTTGAGCAGGGGGTTGGACCAGACGACCTCCAGAAGCCTCTGCTGACCTCAACCATTCTGTGATTCTGTGAATTGTAAAAAGCAAATTATAATAAGCAGACAGGACAACATGGGAACTAAGAAGATCTTCTCTGGTAGAAGGAGCTTACAGAAAGTAGCAAAAGAGAAGAGTTAGCGGGAGAGGCTGACTTGAGAAACTTAAAATCTTGGCCATATGTCTATGCACTTTTTTGTAAATACTTGAAGAGGATGAACATTAACAGAGGTTGAAACACATAGATATTAAGTCAGTAGCTGAAAATGAGAGATGTAGTTTAGTTGCATGTTGGGAAAATCTTGACAGTACGAACATTTCAAGAGATGGAGGAAAAGATTTAATCAAAATGTACAAAGGAACATCTTTCTGGTTTTTGAAGGTTAATACTGCACTTCCATGGATTATTTTGTACTTGAGAAAAGTAATTACTTTTCCTTATGTTTGCAGAAATGACTTAATTGAGACAACTGTATCCTTCTAGCAGTTCTAAGTTCTTACATTTGGTAACACAGTCCCTTCTTCCAGTTATATTTTCAGTCTAATAGCCTATAGTCTCATTCTTTTATTTTCTGTATATTACTATATTATTTTATAAATTTACAATATGTGTAACTGAGGGTGAATTAAATTGAGGAACTTTCAGACCTAAAAGGAAAGAATCTGACTTCAGAGGGCTGTGTCAGTAGTGACCTGAGCATCAGTCAAAGGCAACAGAATTGCACTTCCTTACCACAAGTAGCACTGGAGGAGATCTGGCATTGATGATACTCTGTGTTCAGAGTGAGCTGGGAAATGTATTGTCTTTTGGGAAGTCTAAGAATATATCTGAAAGCTGCAGTAGGCAGAAGTTGAATTTAGTTTAATTTTCTTTGTTCTGTCATATTCACTAACGGGATAACTGATACAAATACTAATACTTCATTTTTGTATAGTAGTTAGTGCAACTTCTAAGGTTTAAGGGCATAGTCGGTTCAAAAGATGCCCTGAATTAGAACAGAAGAGCTTATTTGATTGAGTTTGAGTCTTGTAGCCAGAGAAGGAACTGAGGGCTTAAATAGGATTAAAAATAAATAAATAAGGACAGCTCTCAATCCTCCTTTACCACATTCTGCATCACTGTGATTAATTGGCTTCAGGCATAATGCCAAGTGCTTTATTTTTTTAGCCAGAGAGAAACATAAATTTAAAAATATTTACTCCTGCTCCAGTGGGTTAGAAAACTCACTACAGCTTTTACTGTAGAAATGGAAATCTGGTGCTTAATCAGCTCATTGCTACAACAGGATGTTTGTAGGCACCATGATAGAAACCTGTGAGGCCCAGTTAGTTCTAGTGTCTGTCTTTCAAGCCTTCTGTCTTAAAATTATGTTTTCTAAAGTAAATGTGATTTACTGTTTCAAATAGTTAGACATTTGCATAAACAGAATTAACTCTTTTCTCATTATTTTGGTCACTGTGGTGTTATTCACAATTCATATGGCATCTCAGTTACAAAAACACATTTTCTCATTCACAGAGCCTTAGCTCTTGTGACTCTAACATCAGTACACAGTTTATGCTCATCTTGGAAATGTAACATTTGTGGAATTGGCTTGTGATCCTGTCAGGCAGCATTTACCACTTATCCCTCATATTTGCTTTCCTTTCATTCATATAAACAAAAGTGCAAGCTGGGCATTTAAGCCAGACCCTCTCATCTTTAAAAGAAACGTTTCACCTTGTGCAGACATTTCAGATACTTTGCCAGCATCTCTAATTCCGTGTCAAGTCCCTTCTTCACCCTTCTTCATTTGCCTTCTATTTCTTTTCAAAATAATTGGATTTTGAGTTGCACGACAGTGAGATATAATCAGTGCTTGATAAAAATATTTAGTCCATCTGCAGTATTGTTTATAATAATTAAGCACATTGTCTCTTAAATGTCTCTATATTTAGAGTTACATCTCTAAAATACCTCTCTTAGAGGAGGTCTAAATGATTTCATAGTCAGTCCTATGACCAAACAAAGAGAACCCAAGGGAATAGGTATGAGCAGTATGTGCAATATCATCATGTAAAATTGCCATATGACACTGTATTTATACCTTTCCTCTGTTTCACCCTGAACTTTAAGACAAATTAATTTGGGGAAGAGGGAAGAATTGCTCCACTTCATCCAAGAATTATGCAACCTTCCCAGAAGGAGCTGTGCAATGGATGGGGGCTCCATCCTGGTATTCAAATGATTCTGGGTCCTTGCTGAATTATTCTCCCCCTTGATCAAGACTTCATATTGTTGGTATTTGGAACATCTAGATTCAGATAGATGTACAAAAATGTAGAAGTACTCCAATGCACAGGTAGAAATGCTAAGTAACAAAAATTATGGCCACTGTGCTTCAAAATTTCAGTTTTCTTTTGATACAGAAAGAAAAGCTTGCTTCTTCACTGGAATTCTGAATGCATTTCTCTTGTACCTCTGTACTCTTCAGTTTAAGTACTTGCATAATATTTTATGTAAGTGAAGGACAGCAAATTTAGCAGTAAGAGTTGTAGTCCTGTTAGACTCGTATGGAGGTTTGAATGCTGCTTTCTGAAACATTCAAGGGTATATAACACCTGCTACCCAAACTGTTTGAAATGTTGAAGTAATACTTTTAGAGAAATAGAGTGAACAGTGGCACAGATCTGCAGACCAGGCCACATCTTATCAGTGTAATAAATGGTTTCAAAGGATATTTTGTGCTGCAGCTGTCTAATAGGGATTTGACAGAAACCAGCTTTTTTTATCTATATAGATAATTTTAAAAATAGTTATCACTTCATAGTAACCATTAGTGACTGATCTGTATTTTAGAGATTGAAATTAGGTTTTTTCCTTTATTCAGGTTTTGGTAAGACACTACTAATTTTAGTTGCTTGTAGCTTTGAGATTTTAAGTTTAGTGTCTCAGAGAAAGTGCTTAGCTTTCTCCTGAGCTGTGAGCAGAGAAAATTTCCATTTATGCAGTGGTATGTGTGTGTGTGTGTATATATATATGTTCATAGTTTCACACTCTGCATTGCAACTGTTTTGCTTAAGTGTTTCAAATGCTTTTGTGTTAATGTGTTAAAACAGCACTGTTGTGGGCAGGCAGGGAGTTACATACCTGTCCAATGAATTGTATGATTTCTTTTAAAGCCTGCTATTGGGAAACATTCCTTTATTTTTGGCATGCTGGAGAAATGTAAAATGCCAGTGTGGGGGTGTTTTTAGTCTTAAATATTCTACAGAAACCTTTAACGCTGCAGTTGCTTAAGCAAAGAAAAAAAGCCTTGATTCATAGAAACTCTGGAAGACACCAGTGAAATAATACGAAGTTCGCTTTAGCACTTCCTTTCCATTAAGATGTTGTCTCAGGATGCCATCGCACCTTTTTCTTTTCTTTCCTTGCTTTTTCTTTCCTGTATAATGTTGGTAAAGATATGAATTTTAAAAGATTCTTGAAAACTCTCTAAAGGAAAATAAAGGGAAGATGAATGTATGTCAAAGTTAATTGCTAATAAATAAAAGTATTGTTTGAAAAAAGGAAGATAAGGAGGTGTGTCACAACAGTGAGTTTGCTTTTAAGAAGCTAGGGGGGAAGCAGGAGGGTGTCTTGAACTCCTGTAACTATTTCAAAAACATTTTCTTCCTTAAAGTATTTTGAATGGTTTTGTTGTTTCTAGCCACAAGGCATTATCAGATAGCTGGAATTTAAATGCACTTGAAAAACAATAGAGAAACTTTTTAAACAGTTCTGCTAATGTCAGAATTAGTTGCAGAGTAAACTTCATACAAAGTGTTAATGCAAAAGAAAATATGTCATGTATATCTCTTTCCTTATGTGTCTTAGGTTATTTTAAGCTCTATGATAAAAGAGTGTGAACAGAAAGTGGAAAACAAGACCGTCCAAGAACCGCAGGGGTAAGACTTCCACTTCTCTTTTTTCTGTGCCTCCAGATTAACGTTCTGCGGAGTCTATTCCATAATGGTGTCCAAGACTTGTGACCAGAAACGCCGCGCTGGCATATTCTGTATTTGAAAGCAGATTTTAGGAACTTTATCTTTAATTCAGTTTGTGGTTGTTTCTGTCTGCAGTATAGAACGCGGGAAAACACACTTTTATTTGTATTATAGCGATGATGTTCTTGTTTTCCCATGTTACTTTCTTCTTAATTTTTTATCCATTTAAAGCAGTAATTCAATTTCTGTCCTGAATCTGAGAAAGCAGGGAGTGCTTGGCCTAAGTGCTCAGAGCAACACATGTGGCACGCACCTTGCAACCCTCTTTCGTGGGGGTGGCCTGCAGGCTTACGGAATTGTTCTGGTCGTGGTAATGACCTGCTCCAGGCTGCTGTCTTTGCTTGCATGGGACTAGTGCACACGAGAACAGTTTCTCCAGCGTATAAACTGGCCTAACTGTGTGAATACGCTGTTTAGTAAATACGTTGGCTTTGGGAAAATGCCACTTATGTTGCACTTCAGTAAAATACCCATTCTACAAATGCCCAGTAAACCCAGCTCTCCAGTGAGGCATCAGACACATGGTGTATATGCATCAATTCGCCTCATGTGGTAGAGGTGGTACCATATGTGTGTGTCTCTCTCCTGATAACAAAAGAAGCTAACAGATCCACAAATTTGGAAAGCTAAGCATCATTATGATGAGGTGTATGTGTTCTTTTGCCTGCTTGTTGCCTGGAATGGCATACCAGCAGGTAATTTCTCATGGATTATTATAAATCCTCAGCAGTGTTGCCAGGAAGCATTTGAGAAGAAACAGTAGGTATCTGAAAATGAAAATCTGTCCTCGGTCCTGATACCTTGCCATGGGAATCAAGACAATTACTGAAACTTGTTTATGTCATGCTTCCATATTTGTAACAAATTGATAGACTTTACTTCTTGAAAGAGCTGAGGCAAAATCCTGGAAGCAACCGGTACTTTGAGAATAACTGAAATAGGAAAGGTGTACAAGAATTGAACAGAAGAGACATGCTGTGGAAAAAGACTCAGTCTCTCATGCACTAAACAAAATCTCTCAGGCTTTACTAGTGGTAATTAGCCTGTTTACTGGTGTAGTTGATAATGAATGGAGTGTAGTAAGAACTGAATCCATTTGAGACATGAGCATCAGGTCAACTCTTAAAGGTGTACTAGAAATGAACTTTAGACTTTAGAAGTGAAATAATTTTAAGACTAAAAATGTCCAGGTTCTACGACAAATCACAATTCGTAGTGTGGTATATCTGTTCTAATAAGGTAGTTGGTTCTGTCTAGTCATATAGAAGTCCTGTCTAAGGGAGAAGAAATACAAAACGTTTAAGATCTGAAGAATGCACTGTCGGTCACCTTCTTTCCTCTTTCCTGTTCATGTGGCAATATTATGAAGTAGGGAGTGTACTGACTAAGTGTATTCCAGTTGACTGGCTATTTTCATGATGAAATAGGTATTTCTTTGCCATATTAGTTATTCACAGAATAAGAACAGGTTTATTTGACTTAATCACTCACAGGCATATTCCTTGCTTGCAACATAAATAGCCAGTCAGTCAGAACCAAAAATTCATTAATTCGTGCTGCTGTTTTTTCCCAGGGCTTCACTATGTTACTTCCTCAAGCTTTTTTCTTTTCCCCTTATCCTTTCTGCCTTCTCTTAAATGGAGCTATCTGGCATACATACCTGTGTGTCCCCCCAGTAGCCATACTCTGAATGCCCATCCCCTTCCTGTATCCTTCAGCAGCCGTGTATTTGCTTTTTATTTTTAAAGAATGGTGAATGCTTAGCTTGCCTTCAGCTATATTAAAGTTTGGCATTTAAGCCAGCTATTTCCTCAGAAAATAACCTACCAATAATGATTCTTGGCAAGATAGAAACTTGCTAGTTGCCCCATTAGACCCATCCTACTTTTTGCAAGTAAGCATTAGTTTTATCAAGGCCTTCCCTGTACTATGTACCTTACGTAGTAAATACCCAATAGGTAATTGTGATAAGGCAGAATTAACAGCCAGACTCTTTGCAGATCTGATGCTAAGCAATTGCTGTAGACTCTCACCAACCAACCTGTGCAGGGACATCCCTCCACATAAGCAATGACTTAATATTTTGACTAACAAGTTGATTCATTAGAATCAGTTGCATACATGGGCATCTATTACTTTGCAAATATTTCCCCTGCCTGCGTTTTATGGACTCTTTTTTTTTTTTCAATCTACAGACTAACCGATATTCTTTTTTCATTTTCATTTTAATTCTTTGTGCAATAAAAAGCCACCCACCTCAGACTTTGACTGTAAGGACTGTAAAGAAAAGAATAAAAGCAAAGTATGTATCTAAATATAAAAGATAATACATATTTGCCTGATAAACTTTTTTTTTTGAAGGAAATTAATTTATCACTTCTTGAGCAACTCCTTGACAGCCTTTTAGGGGAGATCATTAGAAAATATTAAATTGATTCCTTCTCAGGCAAACGTATTCTGAAAGAAATTTTTTTTCTCTCCCAGAATGCAGCAAATGTACGCTGTATCAAACTGGTCTCTTTAAAGAACACCATTAACCTTAATCTGAAGGTTTTTTTATTATCCTACCTGCATTAACTGAACTGTGAAACCTAGGGTTATGAAACAAAATTCCTTGGCTGAGCTCTTCCTAATTCTCAAGTGGTGCTCTTCAGCTGGGCAGGATTTTTAATTTTTTTTAAATGTGTACTTTTGCCTCTAAATATTTTAACCTATTTAGTTCATCAAAGCTGTTCTCTGCATGGCTAGAGTTTCAGTGATCGACTTTTATTCCATGTAGGGTTTAGACTTACCTTGCTTTAGCTTATATCAGTGCAGACATGTTAACCTAAATGTAAGAGGTCCGTATTACTTAAAATCCCTCTTATGAAAATATTTTGAAGTCACAGTTAGTCCTATTAAGCCATTGCAGAAAGAGATAAATGCAAACATGATACAACATCCACTGTATTTTCTTTTAGAATGCAGAAAACTGCTGAAAACTGTAAGGTTTGAAAAGGATAAGTCTTTGCAATGTGTTGCTTCATTCTTTAATTAGCCTTCCTCTTTCTTACTCAAAATCAGGCTATGGTTACAATTTTTTGCTGTACAAAATTAACACGAAATATTTTACCACTGAAGAAATGACCTTTTCGTATACATGAATATCTCCTTTTTCTTGCTAAGCCCTTGCCAATTTCAGTTCCTAATTTCAGCGTTAAATATATATTTGATGAAGGATTTAAATGCAACTAGGAGATAAATTGCTGATTTTTGTTAACAACATGAGAATGCATGCACAAAAATAAAACTGGATGTAAAAGCAATCATAAGATGCTGTTGGTTACCTTGTCTTTCTTTTGTTAGAAAAGGTTGGTCAAATAATATGGGGTCACAGAAATAGTTTTTTAAAAAAAAGACTAAACTTTGTCCTTTTAAATATTAGATAACCACTTTTGTTAAACATTGTCTTTAGCAATTAACAAGGTATTTCAATCCTGGGTAACAGCTTATCTTACAAACTGATTTTTATAAAATGTCCAGCATGAATGTTTGTTTTGGCCTAAAGCTTCCCCGTAAAACAGGCAGAACTCTGTGTAGCCTGTAATTCATCTAGATACTGGTCAAAAATTTGATGTTTACACATTATTTTTGTTTGCGGGTTTGTTTGCTGGTGCTTTTTTTTTTTTTTAAATAATGAGTAAATGCAAGGACTTTTCTATAGGACTACTTGTTTCAAACAAGATATGTTATTGCCTTGTTGGTTTCTCTGATTATTTTTTTAAAGACATGAGATTCAAATTATTTAATTTCATATTGCTTTTATTAGTATGTTTAACTGTTTAATTTGTATAATAATAGAAGTATTTTGGGGGCATATTTAAACTTTTAAGTACGTTGTGGTTTAACGCCAGCCAGCAACTAAGCACCACACAGCCACTCGCTCACTCCCCTCCAGTGGGATGGGGGAGAGAATCAGAAGGGTAAAAGTGAGAAAACTCATGGGTTGAGATAAAGACAGTTTAACAGGTAAAGCAAAAGCCGCGCACGCAAGCAAAGCAAAACAAGGAATTCATTCACTACTTCCTATCGGCAGGCAGGTGTTCAGCCATCTCCAGGAAAGCAGGGCTCCATCACGCGTAACAGTTACTTGGGAAGACAAACGCCATCACTCCGAATGTCCCCCCCTTTCTTCTTCCCCCAGCTTTATATGCTGAGTATGACATCATATGGTATGGAATACCCCATTGGCCAGTTTGGGGCAGCTGTCCTGGCTACACTCCCTCCCAGCTTCTTGTGCACCTGGCAGAGCATGGGAAGCTGAAAAGTCCTTGACTATGTAAGCACTACTTAGCAACAACTAAAACATCAGCGTGTTATCAACATTATTCTCATCCTAAATCCAAAACACAGCACTATACCAGCTACTGGGAAGAAAATCAACTCTATCCCAACTGAAACCAGGACAAAGTATGTTAAGTGTTGTGGATTATCTTTCTATTTATAGTAACATAATATTAGAAAACATGAACTTCTAGTCACTCCAGCTCTTAATTTTTAATTTTTGACATCAGATGGTTGATATCCCCCAAAACTGTTTTGAAAGTCAAGTGAACATTTCCTGGTTTTCTGCAAACTTGTTTGGGATCATTAGAATAATGACAGCACCGTTTGCTTAAAACTACATGTTTGTCACCAGTTGCTAGGCTTTCTTTTCTGAAGTGAGCATTTTTATTTTCTTAATCTTGCTAATGCTTGGAATATACTATATTTCCCAAATCCTTTTCCCTAGTTACGCACAACTCTAGGATACATCATAGGCTGGGATAGCTTCTTCTTGTTAACCAGCTGATAGCGAGTATAAACTGTTAGTTACATAATTTATATGCCCTTGATTTACCATGAAATCAAGGGAAATTGCATAAGAAATCCATCTTACGGTAGTAGTAACTTACCTGCTAAGTTTTATCAACTGAAAATTTTGATTCCCTAGTTGACTGTAGATGTTTAATCAAACCAAAGATGTCTGGCTATGTGATTGTGCCTGAAAGAGATATTTCACTTAAGTTTATAAATCACCAGTTGCTAGGCTTTCTTTGTTATTATTATGATACAATTAATTAACAATTAGTTGTTATGATACAATTAAGCAATTTGTAAATCCACAGTACAGCTTTAGTGAGAAGCTTCCCTTTTGTTTTTTCAAGTACTCTGTTAAAAATAACCAGAATTCGTTACTGCTAAGCACCTTTCTTTGTGGTATGAAATGGGAAAAAATAGTTAATGCATCCCTGATACTTTTGAAGAAGTAATTCAAATTCCGTTGAAGCAATTTGGAGTTAACTTTAACTTGACCTGCCTTGATGCAAAAGTATCTGACAGAACTTTTTATAACCTTGCAGACTGAAAAGTCAGTTCCTAGAAGCTGGCCTGTGCCAGTAAGACAGATCTTGTGTTCCTAGGTATAATTTTGAAATGCAGAGTCCCCGCTGAGCTGGCAAGGGAAAATTTCACTAGTAATGTTTTGTAAAATTGGCGCTGTCTAATGTTGAAAAATATGTTTGCCATTTTAACTACAAATATAGGAAGTATGGAATATTTATTAATATTCCTGCTATCATACATTTGCCTTAGAATCATAGAATCCTAAAATCATTAAGGTTGTAAAAGACCTCTAAGATCATCGAGTCCAACCATCAACCCAACACCACCATGCCCACTAAACCATGTCCCTAAGCACCTCATCTACACGTCTTTTAAATACCTCCAGGGATGGTGACCCAACCACTTCCCTGGGCAGCCTGTTCCAAGGCCTGACCACTCTTTCAGTGAAGAAATTTTTCCTAATATCCAATCTAAACCTCCCCTGGTGCAACTTGAGGCCATTTCCTCCCGTCCTATCGCTAGTTACTTGGCAGAAGAGACCAACCCCCACCTCGCTACAACCTCCTTTCAGGTAGTTGTAAAGCGCGATGAGGTCTCCCCTCAGCCTCCTCTTCTCCAGGCTAAACAGCCCCAGTTCCCTCAGCCGCTCCTCATAAGACTTGTGCTCCATTCACCAGCT